GGTACATGTGAATCTTTCTAAATGTAGAATATAAATGTCTTAACACAATAACTAAGAAAATGACATGAAGGCTATGTTAACCAGTTTGATGAAAATTTTTAGATTGTATATAGAACCAGCACACTGTACCCCATGACTGCATTAATGTACATAGCTATGATTTAATAAAAAAAAAACCCCAGAATCCTTTACTATAAATAGAAAGCTGTCATACACATAAATACAACAAAAATAAAACTAATGGAATTGTAGTTAGATACTAGTATTTGCCAAAAAATGAGAGTCACAGTTCTGCTCTTTCTTTGTTGGAAAGGAAAATTAGCTATTAGAGAGGTGTTAAAGACATATTAACTCCAAACTTACTGGAAGGCTTAAAAGGAACTGAAAAGGAAACAACTTTCTGTCTGTGAGATCCAGTGTTATTTAATTCTGTGTCTGTGTATACAACCTAGAGCATCTCGGGTCCAATGCCAAATAATTTGGTGGAAGCTTGAAGACCCACTAAATTAGAAATAACAGGGACACAGTGATAATAGCAAAAGAGATGACATTAGAAGAAATAAAATGAATTATAAAGCCAGATAAAACAGAGCCAGGTGCGGTGGCTCATGCCTGTTATCCTAGCACTTTGGAAGGCTGAGGGGGGTGGATTGCCTAAGCTTACTGGTTTGAGACCAGCCTGAGCCAGAGCAAGACCTCGGCTCTAAAAATAACTAGCTGGGCATTGTGGAGGGCACCTGTAGTTCCAGCTACTTGGGCAAGAGAATTGCTTGAGCCCAAGAGTTTGAAGTTGCTGTGAGCAAACCTCAAATGCCATGATGCCATGATGCCATGGCACTCTATCGAGTGCAAAAGTGAGACTCTGTCTCCCCCCCCCCCAAAAAAAACAAACCCAGCCAGATAAAAGAACTATAAAAACATTATAGTCTGAGGCTAATTAAAGGGCTTTATATACATCACTAGTCCAAAGTGATAATGATAATGAATTTATCCCCTCTTCATTCCATTACTTCAGAATACAGTTTAAGAAGAGAGCTATAAGAATGAAATCGCTGCTTAAGGAGGTTCCTGTTCAGGTAGAGAATATATTTCAGAGGAACACCTCATCTCTGGTGACGTCGGAGAAATTTTTTGTCAATGGAATAAATCTTACTTTTCTGGTCTAAATCTGCATCCTTTTGCACTCACAATAGAGTAAGAGTATAACCTTAAGTCTCAACACAAAAGAAATACTAATGCAAGAAGTGCACACACATATACATACACAGTAGTTTCAGAAGTAATTACAATCTGTGAATCCAGAA